TACTTTGGAGTTGATTTACTGCATTTTTCTTGCTGAAAACAGCCGATAAATCACCTATTGTTCCACGCCCTCCTCTTCCACAGTTGGCTTGAAGTTTACAGACCAACAATAATTAAATGCATTTACCTATCAAGCTAGTGCCATAATAGCCTAGAATAAACTCAGCATTCAACAATGATGTGCAAATTTGTTTTTTTAATAAGATTTCAAGTGCAATACTCTAAAATACAATAAATAAAAGAGTATTTACCCATCCAAAAGAAACTTTAGCCCTTGTAGATCATGACGCTCCCTCCATCTTTTAAAAGCATCTGCAATGTAAATTTTCCTCAAGTGTCCCAAATGTCTTATGGCAAGTTTTGCAAAAGGACTTTTAAATAGTTAAAAATGTCTTTTAGAAATAGAAGTCAGTAGATGAATCAGTGACTTTGGTACTTGCTTGAGTTGCTTTGTTGCACATCTGAGTCTCTTTTATTTAGGTAAGCTGACTGGAAGGATTTTCATTGATTGGCAGCGACTTGTGGATAAGGAACTCTGTTGGGCAATGCTCTATGCTCGCAAAATGGTTAGTTCTGTGGTAGAGGCTGAGGAGTAGCCTGACAACCCATCCCATTCATGTAAACATATTGTCTGGCCACGACTTATAGACAGATCTGCATCATGGGGTGGAATCTATGGTTGTCTTTCAAACTGTCTTCTCCATGTGCTATTGGACAACAAACAAAGTGACACTTACCACTACTAATTTCAGTCAATGGGGCAGTCCACCATACACCATCAAAGAAGATGAAATTATTTTTGTAAATAAAGGACTTAGTACCTTTATCGGCTTTTGACTCAAAGAAAAGCCCAAATCTAAATAGTACAAAGTTGATGCCAAAGCCGCTTCAAATAAGCCATTGCCATCTTTATTGTTATTACAGTAAAATCCAGCAAACTACACTTTTGGAGCACTCTGATTGGCCCAGCAAATCATTAGAGCACTGTGACTGGCTAGACTGGCCGGGCCTGCTGAGACTCAAATGGAGCATGACCAAACCAACCTGCAAAGCAAAATCCCTTTGCTTCTGCTACAGTCTGTGTAGATAGTCTGGCTGGGGAAGGACTTGGGAGGGGGGGATACATTTTAAAACATTACCTACTTAGAGTGCCTTCTACAGGCCAAGGACGAGGTCCTATCTCAAGTGGAGGAGTTCAAGGATCTCGAGGTCTTGTTCACGAGTGAGGGAAAAATGGAGCAAGAGATCGATAGGCAGATTGGTGCAACATCTGCAGTGATGTGGTGTTGTACAGGTCTGTCGTGATAAAGAGAGAGCAGAGCTGGAAGTCAAAGCGATCAATTTACCAGCCAATCTATGTTCCTACCCTCACCTATGGTCATGAGCTTTGGGTAGTGACCGAAAGAACGAGAGTGTGGATACAAGTGGCCGAAATTAGTTTTCTATGTTTCAGTAAGCTGGGTCATTGACAATAAAGTTGATTCTGATTCTCAGCAGGGTGGCTGGGCTCTCCCTTAGAAATAGAGTGAGAGGCTTGGTCATCCGGGAGGGGCTCGGAGTAGACCCGCTACTCCTCTGTGTCGAGAAGAGTCAGTTGAGGTTGCTCGGGCATCTAGTTAAGATGACTTCTGGATGCCTCACCTAGAGTGAGACCCAGGACATTGTCTCTCGGCTGGCCAGGGAGTGCCTTGGGATTCACCCGGAGGAGCTGGCCCAAGTAGCTGGGGAGAGGGAAGTCTGGGCCTCTCTGCTTAGGCTGCTGTCCCAGATAAGCGGCTGAAAATGGATGGATGGGCCTACTTTACAGGGCCAGATAGGCAAATTTAAGTTTTTTAAAGTTACCTTCAAAGTTTTAAAAGACGTACCCCGGCTTTAAGGGCCAAGTCAAAGTCACTTTTTATCTCTTCATGGGCCAAGTTCAAGTCAAGTGTCAAGTCTTAAGAGGCAAGTCAAGTCTCCGGCTTTTGAAGGGAAAGCCTAACCCTGACCCTAGCCCAAATAGAGCCTCAAGTCAATCAAGTCTTGAATCTTGAAGGCAAAATCCAATCCAACTCTCAACTCTGCCAGAGTCTTTGAGGACTAGAATCCAAGTGTCAGACTTGAGTCCCTATCTTTGTGTTGAGGATAATGCTTTAGATCAGGGTTAGGCAATCTTGGTCCTCGAGTGCCACTATCCAACATGTTTTAGTTGTAACACTCCTGATTCAATGGTTGAATCACCTGTTCAGTGGGTCAGCAAGCCCTGCAGAAGCCTGTTAATCACTTGCTGATAAAAAAAATCAGGTGTGTTGGAACAGGGAAACAACTTAAACATGCTGGATGGCGGCACTCGAGTACCAGAATTGTCTACCTAATCGTGCTTTAGATGGACCAGTTTTAAACAATGTGGTATTGTTCCATTTTGACATTCAACAAGCCATGCATATTTTCATCTCTTTATAAAACACTCGGTTAAAAAAGTGTCCTCTTGTAAGCTTATAAAGTCTGGTGGTAGAACCATGAAGTACCCCAGTTATCTTTGGAGTTCCCCTGCTTGTTTTATGAAGGGCTCATCCAAACATTGTCCTTCTCCCGCTGATAAAAGCAGCTCACATCATCCCTCACTCACGGACAAGAAGTGTAGGGAAATACTCTTGGCTGGTGTGCGTGATCTAATATTACATCTGCTTGAAGACTATTTGATCCAGTGCAAACAGAGTTTGAGTAATACCCATTCACTGCCAAGGAGGTATAGTGAAAACTCTGATGAATTCACACTTATGCCTGACTGCTTTTAAAACACATTTTTGGTCATTGACCATTAGATTTGATTCATTAAGCTTATATAGACTTGGTTATAATTTTACTGGAATTTAGACATTAGTACTAACGAATACTAGTCGGTACTAATATCAATAAAAAGACAATTTTCTAAAAATGAAATACAATTATCAAGAGTCCAAGCTTCACCAGCTTTGGGTGAAATGATTTGAAATTCCGTAATATCCCCAAAAACTTTCAGTTTATCACTTTCAGGACTTGTGGGGAATGTAGTTTCATCTACTGAGATTTACACCTACTGGTGCAGAGTTTCTCTCAGCTTTTTGTAACACTTGTGCTGCAGAACGGTGTGATGCCAGAGGCCACACTTTGTTAGGTTATTTTCATTTCGCATGGTTACGCTTCGCACTTTGACTAATTGTTATGCTTAATTTTAATTAACATGGCCTCTTGTGTCATTTCATAGTTGATTCTAATCTTCCTGATGCACAAGTTCTCATCATTCCAGCAAAATGACACTTATGTGCTGCTTTTACTTTACAAATGTAATAACGTATGTTTCAGACTTTGAATAATCTAGAAATAAAACCATAGGAAATTTATGGTAATTCGTGCAAATGTGATTGTTTTATTTTCATAGAGTTTATTCCCCCAATACACCCATGCACTTACCTCATGGAAAATATTGTTTTCAGCTTTTTAAATCGCAAATGGTTCCCAAAAATAAAAACATCGTCCTTTAATGCAAACTGAGAGTTGTGACATCGAAACAGAAACCTGGTGTACTTGTTAACTTTTCCAGTTTTCGTACCGTAAATTCCAAAGGATGTCCAAATGGGATTGTCTGCTATGTGGGTTTAGTTTGAAAAACACTTTTTCTGTGTGGTTGTGGCTAAAATGAAAAGTAAAAGGGAGTCTTTTCAATTCAGTTGATGCCATGAATGGGTCATTCATACAAAAAAACGAAAAAAGTTCCTAGAGGTTTTGAAATGTAACATATCTGCAAGTTTTTTTTTCAATATAATGCTCTCTTTGGTTTTCATCATGCTTACACTAATTCTTCACCCACTTAGCCACATACAAACAATTCTTACAGTCTACAGTTTCTACACCTTGAAAAAACTGGAGTAGCTTTCTTGCAGGGCTGTTGGTTTCCCCTTCCCTCGTGTGGTTTATTATTCTTCTTTTTGGCTCGGATCTCTGCCAGCTTTACAACTCCCTCCCTCCCTCCTACACACCACTCACCCTCTGTTGGAAGTTACAGTCAAGAGTGTGGGCCATGCTCTCCGCTGAGTCCCCCGTTCACCATCTGCTCAGGAAAGACGAGGCTGACTTACTGTAGCCAAACTCATCACCTCGAATGAATGATTTCCATCCAGTCACAACCATCCCAATGCCATCTTTAAAAAAAAAAGTCGGAGTTTGATGATAAGAATGTCTCTCCTTATTTCTCTTTGCAACGTTCCCGATGACTGTGCCGTCCAATGCAAAGGAGTCTCCCTGCTGCTGAGTGTTGGAGCACTGGAGCATTCCTTTCCATTAGCGTTTTGCTACAGAAATCCATTAATAAAACACAGAAGGAAATAGGTTTCAAATCAACTTGTGAGGTTTAACCCTTCGGTGTTGTGCAATTTAGACTCAACACTTGATAACAATTACACCACCGGTACCCAGGGGCCCAATCTGATTGGTCTGTTTACTTTGTACTGTCTCGGGAGATTCTACAGCAATTAAGCTAGCTCCCTGGCTGATGGCTATTGCCATTGGTTCCATCTCTGTAGATGTGCAGCCTTAATAAAACCAAACCACATTCATGAATTTACATTAGAATGTAATACAGAACTGTACCGTGGCACTATTTCCCAACCGCCCCCATCACTGTCCTTTTCAGACAGACTCCACTCATGGAGCAGTCAGTATTTCCTGTTGGCAATTCTCCCAGAGCACGTAGAAGTCAATGAGCATCCTGCCAATCCCAATCTTTCCCCTCATAGTCTGTTTCTGCCAAAGGTCCTGTTTGGCTCATGTTTTGGCTTGAATAAACAACAAAGGCTGAATCCAAAGATTGTTTTAAAAGCACCTATACTGTGCTCTTGTTTAAGTTGTGGATGCACGATCATTCTTGTTTTCAGCTACTACAGTAAACATGTTCTTTTAATTTTGGAGTTCTGAAAATGTTAAGTTTGTTCAACTTATGAAATTGAGCATTTAACCAATAGCGTGTCTTTGTTTTTTTTTTAGGTGACTGCGACAGATGCTGATGGTGGCTCTTTTGGCTTTGTCACCTACTCACTTGGCTCTGCAAGTAGCAGCACGGTTCTCTCTCAGTTTACCATCGGCAAAGAGACCGGCCAGATCTGCACTAGTGCTGCACTAGACAGGGATCAAGGGCCGGACAGTCTTGACTTCACTGTTACTGCAGTTGACGGGGTAAGCCACCGCATTTTTGAAATCATGCTTAATATGAATCCATTGAGCCACAACCTAATCCTATAAACACAGCAGCTATGCTGTTTTACTGACAAGAGAGTAAAGACAGAACCAAATTTGGAAAAAAAAAATGAAATAAAGTTCTGGATTCATCAACCAAATAAAAAGTGAACAGCTCTCCATGGTAGGTAGTCTTATTCAACCATCCGGTTCACTGGCTGCCAGAAAATACTTAAAGAATAAAACGTTCAAAATAAAAGAAAAAGACTTTGGGTATGTTAAAGCAATCAGATGGTGAAATACCTCAACTGTCAGGCAGTAACAGTTTAACAAGCTGGACTGTGGCCTCCCTCATTTTGCCACCTGGTCCAAATAAAAAGCCTGCTCTGTATTTTCTTCAAATGAAAAGCCAATGAAACAGACTTGGGTTGCTGCAGGCCCACTCACACTACATAGTTCATGACATATTGCTCCTTCCCCAGGGGAAACTATCAATCTGTGTTAGTGTACAAATCAGTCGAGACTTTATTTTAGAGGCTACACCATACATTGAAACTTTACCTGGGTTTTCTGCTTTATTAGGTATTCATTTATTTCACTTTCACCATTAATGTAGCCTACGGGCACCAATAATGTGATCTTCATCCTTCTTTCATGTGTGTCTTCCCGCTCACGATTTTATGTGTGTAGAGGTATAACAAAAGAGCTTTTTGTTTCTTCTGCAGGGCGGACTGAGCTCGGTAGCCTACGTAAAGGTAGATCTGGTTGACATGAATGACAACAGACCCACTTTCTACCCACTCAGCTATGCCGTTAGTTTGAGCACACAGAGTGCCCCTGGGACGTCTGTTGTCAGAGTGACGGCTCATGACCCAGACTCGGGCGAGAATGGCAGAATCACATACAAAACAGTACCTGGAGGAGCATCCCCATACTTCACCCTCAACAGAGACACAGGTTGGTAAACTTATTTCCAATTTATCTACACATGCTTTTTTATATTTGAAATTATGTTAAATGAGGTAAACATGTCTTGTTTTATGTCTTTTTCTAGGTGTTATTTCTTTGTCTCGGTCTGTTTATGGGAAGGCCAACTCCGTCATCAGTATGATCATTTCTGCTCAAGATGGTGGTGGTCTGCTTGCCTTAAACAATGCTAAAGTTAACATTAGTGTTGTGGCAGGGCTGGTGGCACCACCTATATTTGAACAGACTCAATATTACTTTACTGTATCAGAAGATGCCCTGCGGGGGACAGTTGTAGGCATCGTCCAGGCCAACAGTAAGACTGGTGAGCCATTCACTAGACAATGACCATAAAACCCTAACTCAAAGCTAAAACTTTATTTTTTCTATTCCTGTACTTACTTTATTTTTATTCTAGGCATCTCCAAGGGTATCTCCTACACCATCAGCTCTGGGGACCCCAGTGGCTACTTTACTGTAGATCCTGATACGGGAGCCCTAAGGACCAGTCTGCCCCTAGACCATGAAACCCTGTCAGCTCTTGACTTGGAGGTGCAGGCCCACAGTGGCAACCCCCCAGCGTTTGGCCAAACCCGTGTTCGTGTCACTATTGCAGACATCAATGATAATCCTCCCATTTTTCTACCAACTTCCTCTGAGTCCCTGCTTCTGGCAGAAAACACAGAAATGGGCACATTGGTATATCGAATCCAAGCTGAGGACAGAGACTCGGGAGTCAATGGTCAGCTTAGCTTTGATCTCTCCACTCCTAGTGGAATCCAGAGGATCTTCAGCATTGAACGCAGCACTGGAGATATCCGATTGGTCGGGAGCCTCTGCTATGAAACGACTCCTCGTTATGACCTCCTGGTGATTGCCAAAGATAATGGAGTGCCCCAGCTTAGCGCCACCTTTATGCTTGTGGTTCACATCCAGGCAGAGCATGAACAGGGACCTGTGTTTGATACTCTCACCTACCGTGTGGAACTAAAAGAAGGAACACCAATAAACACACGCTTCCTACAAGTCAGAGCTTTGAACAGAGAGATTCCAGGCTCCAGTCAACTTCCTCCCCTGATGTACCACCTCCGATCTGATGGAGATGCTTCAGGATTTGGCATTGCTGCTGACAGTGGCTGGCTGTTTGTGAAGAGTGCCCTTGACAGGGAACTGAAGGACATGTATCTTGTGACAGTTCTGGCCAGTGCTGGTCATGGCCAGTTAAAGAAGACAGGTAGTGCTACAGTGAGGATATCAGTGACTGATGAGAATGATAACGCTCCTCGGCTCACACAGGAGAGGGTTTTTATGGCTGTGAGGGAAAATCTATCTGCAGGAACAGGTTTTGGACATGTGTTAGCTACTGACAAAGATGCTGGCTCTAATGGACGCCTCAACTATCGCTTCCTGCATCCGGATCGACACTTCCAGATAAACTCCCAAACAGGTAGGGTTGGTCCACATGCTGGTGAAGGTTCTCAGTCATCCAGGCCATGGTAATCAAAAGAGGTTTAATAAAGGTAACTGGACTTCTTTGGTTTCTTGAAGACGTTTTGCTTCTCACCTAAGGAACTTTGTCAATTCTGACTGGAATATGGGAGAGTCAAGCTTATAAACTGTAGCTGTCTATTGTTGCTTAATGAGCAGACACTACCTATGAATACCACTTCTCAGGGTCAGGATCCAGCACAATTTAGTTTGAACTCTGTTTCAACACACCTGATTTCAATCAGCAGGAAATTAACATGCTTTTGGAGAGCCTGATGAGCTGCTGCACAGGTGATTCAACCATTCAGTCAAGTGTGTTGGAGCAGAGAAACCACTAAAACATACTAGATACCGGCCCTCCAGGCCCAGAATTGAATACCCCTGTCCTAAGGAGTCGATTCCTACACAATAGAGGATGACGACTCAAACAATTTCTGAGGAGTCGATTCCAACACAAAAGAGGCTAAGGACTCCAATGACTCCTCAGGATGTAGGGAGGAGAGGTATTCATAGGTAGTTTCAGCTCATTAAGGAACAACAGACAGCAAAAGTTTATAAGCTTGACCCTCCCATATTCCAGAGTTGGCAAAGCTCCTCAGATGAGAAGCAAAATGTCTTCAAGAAACAGAAGAAGTCCAGTTGCTTTCATTCAAACCCCTTTGGGTTTTGTGCTCTAGTTTAATTGAATTAGATAAACTATTAAACATCAACAATGACTGCTAAAAATCACTTTAGTCGACATGGTTGACACCAGTAAATGAATCAGTTTTTGCATAAATATGTAATTAGGCTGTTTTCTTCATTTAAAAGCCACAAATAAATCCAAGATAGCAAGTCCAGTATTTTTTATGATTTCTTTTATTTTTATTGAATTTTTTCATGAAAATTCTGAGAGCTCATAGGAAGGCAAAGCGGCTAATCGGTTGAGTCATCTTTCAGAGATGAGAGGCTAAAGTTGCCACTCTGCTCCTTGTCATAAATAAGGCAGAACGTGGTGACAGCAGCACCCAGCCTCTCACTGAGCTTTAATTGGCCTATTGAGCCTGTTAGTCTGTGGGTAGAGACTCAGGCTTTGATTTACCATCAGCTTCTAGCTGAGCTGTGTCTGTCTACAGCCTCTGCCAATCTCCCTAAATGTCTCCTTTTTATGATTGTGAGTGTTTGTGTGCTTGTGGATGCATACATCCGTGTGTCTGTTACTTCTGAGTATCATTGATACAAGCCTGGTGGCTGCTAAGCCCCTCATCATTATTCTAGTGGTCTGGTGCTTCAACATAAACTCACTCTCATCCATCCTCCTTTTACTCGGCAGGTGAAGTCAGTACGAGGACGATGCTTGACAGAGAGCAGCAGTCTAGCCACCAGCTGGTGGTGGTGGTGCAAGATGGAGGTTCACCTCCTCGTTCTGCGACAGGCACAGTTTTTATTACTATCCTCGATGACAATGACAATGACCCTTCATTCATCTACAGTCAGTCAGGCAAAACCATCGTAATGCAGGTGATGTCATGCGATCACAAGCATGAATTGAAAAAAAGGACACTTTCATTTCTGTAATGATGGTTTTTTTTAAACCAATAGGTGACAGAAGGTCAGTCTGCTGGAGTTTTGCTTGGCACTTTGCAAGCTAAAGACCCCGATGAAGGGGAGAACGGTACAATATTCTACTCTTTGTCAGGTAAAAATGATTTTCATCTGTGTTATCCATGTCTGAATATGTGTTTTTAACTCTCTTACACATGCCATATCCAGTTAAGTTTTGATCTGTGTGTCTACCCAAGGTCCCAGAGCTGAGCGTTTCACTTTAAACGCAATCACAGGAGAGCTGCATTCATCATCCCCTCTGATTCACTCCGATCGAGCTGAATACTCTCTGACGGTGACAGCCACTGACAGAGGACTGCCCCCTCGCAGTGCCTCCTGCTCCCTCACCATTCAGGTCAGACTCCCGCTGGAGGACAGCCAGCATAAACACTCTCACTACACACCTATTTAATATCAAAGAATGGACTTAGGGTTGAGAGGATCCATGTCTCAGGGCCCCTCAGACTAGCTGCCGACATATCAGCCTCACGTCTGACAAGGTCGCCTCCCACCCTCCTCCCTTTTCTCCTCATGTGAATTTTCAAAAGGGAAATTTCTATCTGAAATGGAAAAGTAGGTCTAAATTAAATACTCCCAGCTGGCTTATGATGAGGACCAGCTGTAGAACGTACCGATCAAGGTCATACTCAATGACTTCAATAATTTTTTTTTCATACAGTAGCCCCTTTTTTAAAAGCGTAACAGGGCTGCACTTTCACTCAGCATTGAACGTAGCACCGAAGGTGATTAAAGTTAATATTTAATATAAAACAAATGTACACAATGGAGGAGTCCTGGAAGGGATGATGATTTATAGCATCCTGGGAAACAGCACTGGCATATAAACTCCTCCTGCAAACACCAGTGGAGTTTTTTTCTCCATTTTTTCCAAATAACATGGGAAGTCATAATTATTGGATAACTGGATTAAACAGCCCAGCGTTGTGCTTGTCTGATGACATGTTTCTATAATTTCCTTTTAATCATATTTCTGACATATTTTTCAAATACTTATAAAATCAGTTTATTTTGGGAACACTCGTTTTCCATATAATGTGGAACCAATTTATATCTTGTCAACAAATATAGAAAAAATTAATTTGTTTTTATTTCAATCCAAACATATTGTGGGAACTGGGCTGTACCAATCCACTCTAAGAATCCAGAACAACCCATCAGGTGGGAAAAAAACTGATATTTAAAAAGCTCACATAAGTCTCAGGCTCCTTCTTTTTTCTACTGCTTGTTGTGTTATTAGACGAGGCATCATTTGCTCATAATCTCTTTTCACACGATGCAGTGGACTTTGAAGATGTTTAAACAGCCCATCAAAACAGCTGCTAAGCTAGAAATATGTGTCCCAGAGCGAAAATGAAAACAGTTTCTTCTTTTGCTTGTTTTACTTTTATCATGTATTGATTATTTTCTGGCAGGGATGAGCATCTTTAGTTGTTTCTTTTTTTGACTGTGCTGCTTTTATATCATTTTTTTTCCTGTGAGCAATATAAGTATTAGAATTAGGGGTGGTTATTAGTAGCAGCCTTGTTATTTAAGGCAAGAAAAGCCTCTTATCAGTTTAATTGAAGCCAGCATACCACTGAGTTGTGATTATTGATTACTATTATGTGTAAATTCGCAAATTCCCATTCGGAATCTGGTTGAATTATACATTCAACTTTTTAGCAACAGTCTTTTTTTTATGCTTGGCCGGGTCACAGTAACTTAAGTTAATTTAGGGGAATGAACAAATTGTAATCATGCAATATTTTTATTTTTTTGCAAAAGCTACGTCACAAAATATCTTAAATGAAATCTCCCTTTGAAATAGGGCTGGGCAATAAATTGAAAATTGATCGTTATCGAAATGTCTGACACTTATCGGGATAATTTTTCGCATGTCAATAAATTTGATGATAAAAAATCAGAAGATGTGTGTAGGTTAGCAACATTTTTGTTGCTTTAAGAAGCTGTACCACCTTGAGTTACGTAAAAATGTGACTCAACGTAATACACGTGACAGCCCCATCTGGTGGACAACTTTTGTTTCTGTGCATACATGTACTTATTGTCCATTTATTGTTATCGAGGTGGAATCCTCAATATATCGTGATATTGATTTTAGGCTATATCGCCCAGCCATTCTTTGAAATGCATTCTTACTTTAATCTCATTTTTGTCACCAGCCTGAGTTGTATCACATTTCTTGTGTTTTTCTGAATCCCTGAAACTAAATTAAATTGTACTCCTGTGTACAAGATAAGAACAGAAAAACTATGGAATTAGAAGAGAAACACAGAAACAACATAACAAGGAGTGAATTAAGGTTTTGAGACAGGTTCTGGTCATACAATTGTTTTGAACATGTTCAAAATTCCAGTAACACAACAGCGAAAACCTGCTGGGAAATTGAGAACCCTTGTAAATCTGTCAAGAAATTTTCTTGCAGATGCCCTTCACAATTTGTCACCATTCATTCATCCATTCATGGACTCATCCATCTTGACTCATGACGGGGAAGGCTGTTGTTGTTTTGGCGTCCAGGAGCAGAGAATGTCTCGGCTAGTAGCAGCTAACTGTTAGCATTAGCAACCCTACAACATGGCAGAACTCCTTCAGGCTGGTTTTATTTGGAGAGATAAAGCATCAACGTTGCAAAACAAACTTGAGTCAGTGGTAGAGTTGCATTGCTGTTAGCCAATTAGAGGAGAGGTGTCCAAATATCAGAAAATAAGACTCAGTCCTGCCGTGTGAAGCTACATTCTCATTCAGCTGAATTTCATGTCCTCAAATAGGCACACCAGAGCATTATTTTCTCCAAAGAATGACTTCCAAGGCATTATTTCCTACTAGAGACCACTGCAAATGTGATAAAAATCAGAGTAAAGTTGACCTTTAAAATCCCATATTTTACCTCTAAGCAAAAATGAAATTTAGCATTTATAGATGCACTGTTACTCAGCTTCTCCATCCATTAACACACCTACTGTGGTATTATTCATTACAGGTCGTCAGTATTAACAGAGCTACCTCTAAGACAAATTCTCACTCCATGCATTTCAACTCTGTGGAAGAGACGAGTCCTGGTTCTGTTATTGGCTCTGTGCGCCTTCATGACAAAGGGAAGTCAGAGGAAGGCAAGGTGACCTACACAGTAGTCGGGGGTACAGATCAAGATGGGACATTTGTTGTGGAACGTCAAACTGGTGATGTGTACCTGGCTCATCCTCTTGACTATGAGCGAGAGTCCAAGTACAATTTGAAAATTGAGGTGGACGACTTTTCTCAGGTCCCTCCCAGCAGCACACTTGTCAACTTGGACATTGGGATTGAAGACAGCAATGACCACACCCCTGAGTTTGCTGAGGACCCCATCACCATTGTCATCTCTGAAAACATGGAGGTTGGCTCCTCTGTCTATACGTTCCAGGCTACAGATAAGGATGGCAGTGGTCCCAACAGTGAGCTGGTGTATTCCATCCTCCACCAGTGGCCAAACACTCCTGGCTTATTAACTCTTGACCCCATCACTGGTGTTCTCTCCTTGGGTCGCAAATTAGACCATGAGGTGACTTCCTCATTGATCCTGGTTGTAAAAGCAACTGATTCTGCCCTCAACACTAGCCAGAGGCACTGGAGTTCTGTCACAGCGAGGATGTATATTACTGATGAAAACGACAATCCACCTGTGTTCATATCACCGATTGCTGTCAGTGTCATGGAGGACCAACCGCTGGGCTTTGTGGTACTTTACGTCATGGCCAGAGACACAGATCAAGGGGAGAATGGAAGAGTGACCTATAAAATCCACTCAGGCAACACTGGAGGGACATTCAGCCTTAACCCTAACTCAGGTAAGTCCAACTCAATAATATTTTTTTCTAACTCTAGCTCTCAATATTTTGTTTACAACACACTGTAGTTTCACCTTTTCTGACCTATTTCTCTTGGTTGGAGTCTGAATAGTGCAGCCTGCCAAATATTAAACACACACACATGGGAATGTGCAAGCACACGCGCACACACACAAACACCCATCATCTGCTATTGTGGATCCATTCCCATGAAAGACCAAAGAAACTCCTTCGCAGGCTTCTGGGAACCATTAGAGTAGGGATCAGTTACGCATGTTTGTGTATAGGTACGTGTGTGTGTGTGTGTGTGTATGTTTGTGTGTGTGTGTGTGTGTGTGTGTTTGTGTGTGTGTGTGTGTGTGTGTGTGTGTGTGTGTGTGTGTGTGTGTGTGTGTGTGTGTGTGTGTGTGTGTGTGTGTGTGTGTGTGTGTGTAGGCGTGCACTAGCACATGTGTTTGTGTGCTTCCATTACACTGCCACTTAGTCAACACTGACCTTGAGCTATTTGGTCCTGTGGGCTTTATTGTGGTGTTTGAGACACGTGTCAACATTTGCTCCACCTTCTGCGATGAGCCTCCACCGGTATGCCCTCTGGAGCCCCTCAGTGATGGAAACATTCAGGATCTGTCATGCATGTCACTTCTTTGACCAAGTGTGTACTCATCTTGAAGTGTTTTCATGCACACTGGTTATTTGTTAGAATAATGTCAGAGTTAATCCACCTAGCACCTGGTTGCTCCCGTTTTGGGGTCATCGACTCGACCTGAGATCGAGCCCACACACTGTTTCCATTATTTAAAGCTCACCCTTAACCACAGTAGAAAGAACCATCAAGCCAATATTTGGAATCTGTAAAGTCATACAGCGAAAGTCATTTTCATCACTCATTGTCAGAAGTAAAGTCATTAATTTCACTTTCAAGCTGAAAGGGAAGTTCACCATTCATAAGGTGAACATTACACTATGCAGGAATGAACACGTCAAATGCTGATAAATTGTTGCGGATGAAAAGGGAAGCAATGCAACAAATACAAGCTCTTCTCAGTAACCTACTGTCTTTTCTTTTGCTCATATGTTATCAGTGACCGAGGATATGCCAGGAACAAAGCAGAATCAAATTTGGGTGAAAATACCAGCATTTAACTTTTACCAGACGAAAGCTTAGGGGCAAGTTATCACATTCCTAGAAAAACACACACAAAAAAACCCTAAAGGATTTAAAAGCAAAAAAAAAAAACCCTGCCCTCCATGTCTTTTAACAGTTGCGTCTCATTTTAAAGCATGAAATTGAAATTGAATCAACCCTCTCAGGGCGGGATAATGAAAAGGCAAGAGTGCCCTTAATTTCTACGGCGCACGGCATGCCTGGCTGTTGCGTGTCTAGAGTATGTGTTTACTGCTTCTTTCTTGATGGTTGTGGTGTTCTTCAGTGGAAAATCTCATAAATTGTGGCCAGACCATTTGGGCTTTTACAGCAGTGGTGGTGGTAGCATTCAGGTAGGCAAAGCTGTACATGTGGAGCTTTGATTTGGCTGTCACACGGCAACTTTTCACACTTACTGTTTTTAAATAACCCCAACACACACAATCCTGGAAAGTTGCCGAGTTTACTCCCTTTAAGAACATGGTACATTTATATGTGAAAAATGTAAAGTTTTACACAAATAAGAGTGTTTTGGTTATATTTGGTCCTTGGCTTGTTTTTCTACAGGCTCTCTGTCTATTTTCAAACCACTGGACCGTGAGGAGCAGGATATTTTTAACCTCACTATAATCGGAGAGGATCATGGGATACCCAAACTCTCATCCAGGCAGATGCTGTGTGTCCATGTGATAGATGTCAATGATGAGGTTCCCTGGTTTGAGGAGAGCCTGTATGAAGCTCATATCTCTGAGAATCAACCTGCAGGGACAACTGTAATAACAGTCTCGGCCTCTGATCTGGACCAAGGTGACGTATGCAAGCCCTTACCCTAACCCTAACCCTGTAAATAAAAGTATGGGGAATTACTTTTTAAAATTTATGTTTTAGATTTAATCTTGTCCCAATGATAATGGAAATGAATCATTAAACATCTAATTAGAGTGTATGTGGGTTCTTATAACCAAATATTTATTCATTTTTTAAAATTAAATCTGAAGCAATCAACAAAACGCCTACAGCTCCTTTTATTATAGAACTACACGCTGAGGGTGCATTTATTAACATTAGCAGTTGTTTTTAATTAAAATAGTCACAGGGGGGAGTGGAGGGGGCATACGTAAACAGAGAGAATGCATTACATTAGAAGCACATAAAACAGAGGGATTATAAGCGTTCTACTTTAAAGCAATTAGGGAAGTAAAAAGGTGAGGCTGCCAGACTTTTAGCACACAATCTGGCACCCAAACACCTGAGAAACACTTTTCTTTGCCAACTGCTTAGAGTAGCAAATTTTATGTAAATTAAATTAGCTTATTTAAATTAGGCATTTATATTGTGTCTTTGTTTACAAATGATAAGAAATGTCTATCTGCTTTTTATACTGTTCATTTGTTATTGTAAAGCCTTTCTACTATGTGTTTCTCTGTAGGAACCAATGGACATGTGACCTATGGCGGTGTCTCCCAGGAAGGTTTTAGCATCAACCCAGTCACAGGTGTCATAACCACCACAAAGTCCCTGGACAGGGAATCTCATGAGTTGTATGTTGTGACAGGTACTTCTAAATCTCCTTACGCTGCCAGTGATTGCTTTTGATTCAGATTATGTGGCTCCATAGGGGTTCAGATGAAGGCCACTGGACTTCTTCTTTCAAGAACCCAAAGAAGTCCAGTGGCCTTCATTGGAACCCCTTTGGATTACCATGAACTGGAAGACTGAGAACCAGATTATGTGGCATTAACATTAGCTATCTTGTGTTTGGCAGTGTATGCAAAAGACGGAGGCCTTCCACCCAACTTTGCCAAAGGAACAGTGAAGATTAAGGTTCTTGATGTTAATGACAATGCTCCTGTCTTTGGACGTCTCTACTACAGCATTGAAGTGCCTGAAAACTTGGAGGCGTTGCCTCTGTTCACCATTAAAGCCTCTGACCAAGATGCAGGAAGCAGCGGGGAGATAAACTACAGAATTATCGGTGTGATGTTATGTGAATAATTTACTTGTTTTTATTGTTTGTATGAGGTCATCATCAAAAAGTCATTCTTTTGTGTCCCTGCAGCTGGAGATCCATCTGGAGACTTCCGCCTTGACAGAAAATCAGGTGTGCTGCAAACTTCAAGGCCTCTGGATCGAGAAAAGAGACCTGGCTATACTTTAACTGTAATAGCCCAGGACCAGGGCCACCCTTCCCTGATCGGTACTGCCACTGTAGAGGTGACAGTTCTGGACGTCAATGACCACAGCCCACAGTTCCAGAGCAGCAGCTACACTGCTGACATTTCAGAAGATGTTCCCATTGGCTCATTGGTCCTAGAGGTGAAGGCCGTTGATTTGGACTATGGCCTCAACAGTCAGATTCTCTACTTCCTGAGCACGGGCTCTCACAGTACGTTCATCATCGACCAAAACACGGGACGCATTATCACAGCAGCCCCCCTGGACAGAGAAAAAACTGCCTCCTATACCTTTCAAGTTTGTGCCACTGACTCCTCCCCCACAAATCCACGGAATTCAACAGCTCAAGTTACTATCTACATTCAAGATGTGAACGACAATGCCCCTTTCTTCATTCAGGACCCACTTATTCTAAACATTTCTGTAAGTACTGTGTCCAGCCGCAGAGTACTGGCCACCATGAGGGCTGAAGACAAGGACTTTGGAGCTAACGGCTCCGTTTTTTATCGCTTTGCCAACCCCGTTAGAGGCTTTACCATCAACTCGTTGACAGGAGACATCCAGGCCACAGAGAAGCTGCAGACACTGACCCAAAGTCAAAGGACTTTGATAGTTCAGGCTATGGACCAAGGAAACCCATCTCAGTCTTCCTTGGGGGTGGTTGTCATTTACATCAGGGAACAAATTTACAGGGGTATTCGATTCTCCCGCACAGCTAGAGATGTTAGTCTGCAAGAAAACGCTGCAAAAGGTTTGAAATTATTATTTAATTATGTAGGAAAGATATTGAATTGACATTTATCAAATACTGTATAATTGTCATCCTTTAGGCACAGTGGTAACGCAAACCCAAGCTCAGTACCCTGATGGCTCTAAAGCTGGTATCAGCTACAGCATTTTCAGTGGAAATACATTGCAGTCGTTTGGAATTAGCCCAATCACGGGTGAGTGTACCATTAGACGCTGACACCGCATTGCATTCCTTTGCAGGCCCCCTTAATGATGTTTTTTTCTTTTATGCTAAATTAGGTGAAATATGGGTTGAAAGTTCTGAAGGAATTGACTATGAGGAGACCCCCAAACTCCGCCTAGTGGTGAAAGCAGAGACAGCATCCTCCAGCTCCTACATGGCTGTCAACCTCCTTCTGCAAGACTTAAATGACAACTTGCCACGCTTCCAGCTCCAGAACTATGTGGCGTACATCAGGGAGGCACAAGGCTATGATTTTCCCATTATCCAGGTGCAGTAGCCAGTACTCCCATGTTTATTATGGTTGGCTGTGTTTAGGTGTGAATTTGTAAAATTGAAAAGGAGAAATACTGAAGCTTGGGAAATCTGGATAGTTTCAAACTGTGAAGAAGTGACTATATTCAACTGCAGGCATTCTCAGTGTCCCAACTGTGTATACTCTCTATTTGACAACCATAACATATGCATTTTAAACTGTAGCAGTTTTTTATGATCTCATTTTTTCCAAGTTCAATACTGCTCACATCTTTAAGTTGCATTGAGGAATAAGCTGCAGATATGCCTTTCTTTTTATTTCTAACATGTGTTTGGCATTCCTTCAGGTTGCTGCTGATGACTTGGACCAGGGCCAAAATGGCCAGGTCACCTACTCTATCAGGTCGTCATCTATGAGTGGCTTGTTTAAGATTGACCCCCTGACGGGCAGCATCACCACTGCTGCCATCATGGACAGAGAGATCTGGACACAAACAAAGTGAGGCTTGTGTTTTAGTCCCCCCCCCCCCCCCCCCCCCGGTTCATTTATATTCACCTTATGAGTTACATTTGAACTGCAGTTCTAAAAGATCTACCGACCAGCAAAAACAGCGGAGTGCGCGCCGGCCACATCAGTTAGGTGCGTCACCGAGGACAAAACGGGTGATGCGCCCCGATCCACAGCAGCGAAATGCATCAGGCGCAAACAAAAGACAGAAAACATAAAAGGAAATGAGCCGACATGAACAATTGCGTGTTAAATTAGTTTTTGAGGTGGCGACACCTGATTTGATAATGTTACTGTGGCCGTGCTCAGGACGCAGATGTCTGGAGCGCGTCAACAATCAGAGCTTTGCATGCGCAAGCTGGTTAAGGTTAGGATGGGGGTGAGGGGAAGGTTAAATTGCAAGAGGGTAAACGTCACAATTTGGTTAAATGTCCGTTTTACGGCGGTGTCAGTACCGACGCTCTGGCACAGTGCGTTGCCTCCCGAAGCGCAGGAGCTTGTCACCTGCTGACAGCAGGCTGCTGTCTTTTCCGTGGACTGCATCTTACCGGTCATTATCACGTGACAGTGACTAGTCGATGACAGGCATAAATAGTCACTACAGAGCGGTGAAGTCGACTAGTGACTAGTTCATACAACCCCTGCTACTGCTCCCCAGAGTGTTCTGCAGCATAATCAGCACGTTCTCTTTGAACTTGATATCAAATTTTCGCCTCCTCTTCGTCTCCGCACGGTTAAAGTTACCCTCGCGGTCTGTCACTGGCAAATCAAAAGTGAGACGGATGACACAACCACCCCCGTACTTGCTTGTTACCACATTCCACCCGGCCACAATAAAAAACCGGCCATTATTCACCTCCGCCGACTCCAACACCGGCCAAAATATGATACCTGGCAGTTAATTAAATACAGGCTAATATTAGAGGATTTATGGTACATACATATATATATATATATATATACTTTTACATAGTTTTCACATAATCATATTCAACCTCAAAACCATTAGTCAGTTTTTGAGGTTGGGGCAAAATTGGCATTTAAAAAAAAAAGACATTTGAATGATCATTCTACAGCAAAATGAATTTTATAGGTGGTCAGAAATGAAAGATTATGATTTTTGGGTTCAACAAAAGTTCAGACACTGATATTAATTTTGTGGCAACAGGCTTGTTGTTGTGGCAACCGACCGGGGAACCCCACGGCTGGCTGGATCTGCTACCCTCACTGTGATCATTGTTGACCTCAACGACAACAGTCCCATGATTCCTCTGCCTCAAGAGATCCGGGTGCCTGAGGGTAAGCTTCACAGTGGAAGTTGGTAGAGTGATCTTATCATAAAGCCTCACATCTTTCCCCTGGCAGCTAACACAGTGGGACTTAGTGAGAAAAATCAGACCCTTTATGAAACAAGTAATTGCCAAAGTTTCTGTCTGCATTTCCTGACAGGTTGAGACTTTCCAGAAGAGGATATTTCTTAAAAAAAGATTTCACGACTAAGACTCCGTCTTATTTTCAATGCCATCTAAATGTATTCTGTCTTTCCTCCCATATCTGTTTTATATTGTCACACATGCAGATACTCTCGTTGGCTCAGTTATCACCCAGGTAACTGGAAATGATGTGGATTCAGGTCCACCCCTCTCCTACACACTTCACATGGATGGTAGCGGCCAGGGCATGTTTGGGATTCATCATTACGGAGGTGGAGTGTCTTTGACCGGCCCACTGGACTATGAGGAAAGGACGTGGTACACGCTGACAATCCGCACATCAGACTCTAAACATCAAAGCGAGGCCTACCTTACTGTGCTGGTGGATGACGTGAATGATAACGCCCCTGTTTTTACACACGATTTATACCAGGTACAACTGGAACACTGACATCATGCCTGCATGCCTCATCTGTTATTGTTCCAGAGAGAGATTGTTAAATTACTGAAGCATCCGTGGCATTAATATACTGATTGTGTTTCTGACCAGGTGACTGTATCAGAGCAACTTCCAGCAGGCAGTTCAGTCATCACAGTAACAGCTACTGACCGTGACTCTGGAGAGAACGGAAAGATTACTTACCAAGTGATGTCATCAACTAAAGGTGTTTTCTTCATTGACCCAAGCAATGGTAAGTTTTAAAGTTTGATGTATTCAGGGTCGTTCAAAACAATTTACGCTTGCAGAAAATATATTTTGGGGCATGTATACAAAAAGCAATTAAAAGATTTGAAGCTTTTTCCACTAATAAAGGTAATAGAACAGTGGGTTTTGTGAGATTTCCCTCAGACGTTTATGTCCAAACCTGTCTTGAAGTTTAATAAATGTTATCAGAATAAATTTAATTTGGAATCATTCTTGGGGCAATGGTGGCTCAGGGGTTAGGAGTTCACCCTGTAACCGGTGGGTTGCTAGTTCAAACCCAGACTACATCCGTGTGTCCTTGGGCATGACATTTCACCCTCCCTGCATGCTGGTGTTGGTCAGAGGGTGCAATAGTGGCTGTGTATGGCAGCCTTGCTTCTGTCAGTGTGCCCCAGGGCAGCTGTAGCTAAACTGTAGCCCATCAACCTTCAGTGTGTGAATGGGTGAATGACTGACTGTCGTGTAAAGCGCTTTGGAGTCAGAAAGACGCTATACAAGTGCGGATCATTTATCATTTGTAATGGCTATCAACACCAAGCTGTGAACAAGCTTTGAAAAGACATTAATCAGTTTGTTTGTTTTTCTCAGGAACTCTCTTCTTGAGGCAAAAAACAGAGTTGGACTTTGACCACCCCTCCATACTTGTGGTGATTGAGGCTCGGGACCAGGGTACCCCATCTCTTTCATCCATCACCACCGTCCAGGTCCATATATCAGATGTCAATGATAACGCGCCCATCTTCCCCCAGTCGGAGTACAGAGCTACCGTGTCTGAAGATGGACTCCCTGGAGCAACTGTTCTGACATTGGAAGCTGTGGATGGTGACCTGTTTTGGGAAAACAGTGGTTTTGATTTCACCATTGCTAGCGGCAACTCTGATAATGTCTTCCAGATCGAGAGCAGTGTGCACTTCTTGGAGGGCCGGGGCTTCCAGACAATTGGCAGTTTGATCCTAGCAGAAAAGCTGGACTTTGAAGTAGTACCAACTTATAACCTGATCGTTGTGGTATCAGATAGAGGTGTCCCTCAGCGCAGCTCCAGTGTGTCTATCCTTATTAGTGTAACAGATGTCAACGACAACCCTCCAGTATTCAGCCGAACAGATTACAGCGTTGTCCTGAGTGAGGGTACTGCAGCAGGAACCGAAGTCTTGCATTTGTCTGCCACAGATCCCGATTCGGCCCCCAATGGAGAAGTCCAGTACTCTGTAAGTTCTGGAGACGAGGCACACCTATTCCAGGTTGACCATTGGACTGGAGTTATGAAGCTGCAGAGACCTCTAGACAGCAAAACAAAGATGTCTCACGTGATTGTTATCCAGGCCACTGATGGCCAAGGACATTATGCTTTAGCCTCAGTCACTGTTGAGGTTATGGACATAAACGACAACAGGCCCTTCTTCCCCCTCAAACAAGTGACAGCAAGCATCAGGGAGAACCAGCCGCAGAATGCCTTAGTTACCATTCTGCATGCCATTGACCATGATAAAGGTGTTTTTGGACAGCTAAAGTATTACATGTTAGAAGGCCACAAAGCAGAAAGAGACAACTTCCTCATCAACCAAACATCAGGCGAAGTTCGAACTCGCTCTTCGTTTGACTTCGAGAAGATAAACTCATTCCATTTTGTGGCTTTTGCCATGGATGCTGGCAATTATTCAGCCACTGTAACATTACATGTTTATGTAACAGGGGAGGATGAATATGATCCTGTTTTCATCTCCTCAGAGTTTTCATTTGAAGTGCCTGAGGGAGCAAAGAAAGGTCAAATCCTAGGAAAAGTACAAGCCAGAGATGAAGACGAAGGCATGGATGGTGTTGTTCTCTACTCATTATCAGACCATTCACCCTATTTTGAGGTAAATAAATCAACCGGAGAGGTTTCATTAAAAATGGACAGCAACAGTAGACATGTGAGTCGATCTAAAAGAGAGGTCCGTGTCATTACTCTGGATGTGACGGCTCATAGCCCACTGGGGACCTCTCGTGCATCAGTGGCCAAAGTTACCATAGATGTGAGCCATACATCTTTTGGCCTCACCACAGACATGAGCATGTTGCTTGTCAGTGTCATTGCAGTTTCACTTGGTATCATAGTCATGCTCATAATAATTGCAATGGTGCTATGTTTTGTTAAATTAAGAAATCAGAGAGAAAAAGATACCCATAAGCGAAACACTATTTCAGGCACGCTACTGCACACGTTTGAGGAAACAAAGCTGGCAACAAATGAGATTATTTACCATCAGGCTCTTCCTGGATATGCTTCTGATCCGAGTGGCAACAGTGGAGGTCCGTACACTCGCGGGGGATCACTTGATCCATCCCACTCCAGTGGCCGTGGCTCTGCAGAAGCAGAAGCGGCAGAAGATGATGAGATCAGAATGATAAATGAATATCCTCGAGTGTCAAGTATCTCTTCTTCCATGCAAGAGCGTATTTCAGCCCGAGGTCCGGACTCTGGGATCCAACAGGATGCGGATCAACTGTCAGATGTGTCCGGTGAGCCCTCCTTAGACTGGTTCAAAGGGAAGAAGGGAAGTAGTATGAATGGTACTTTGACAGCTGGCCAAGTGCCGGCCTACAGGGACGAACGGGGTGGGTATGTGGGCGTCGGACGGGCAATCAGCATCTCCCAGTCTAAAGACTATAATTTTCCAGAGAATGGGAAGCCCCCCGTGGATGGCTCCCTTACAGCCATTGTGGCCAGCGACGAGGAACTTAGGGGCAGCTATAACTGGGATTACCTCCTGAACTGGTGTCCTCAGTTCCAACCTTTAGCTAGCGTTTTCACCGAAATAGCACGTTTAAAAGATGAAACGGCTCCTCTTCATTCCCGAAAGTCATTTCATCGCAAAGCAAAAGCAGAGTCAAGAATTGACCCGCCCCCTCTCATAACCTCTGTGGCCCATCCTGGGGCAAAAACTGTACTTCCAAAACCTGCAGTATCGAGGACATTTTCCAACCTAGCCTCATTACGAAGATCTCCTCTCAGCGCTGAGGGATCCATCTCCTTAGTCGCAATGTCTCCAAGCTTCTCCCCATCTCTTTCGCCACTGGCAGCACGTTCTCCGGCAGTCACACCTTTCAACGTCTCGCAGGGTCCCTCTGCCTCATCGATTAGCACAACTGAACACAGTTCTGAACACAGTGAGGAGGCAGATCTGAGGATTTAAGCTCTAATGGGTGGATAAAAAACTGCTGTCCCAAACCTTGTCTACTGTATGAACACAAGCTGCAACTTGAAAGTGAAAGTGCTAACTTCTTTTCTCTGTTTCCCGAGAGGACAAGTGCCCAGTGTTAGACTAAAACCAAATAGCTGAAACTTTGGTGCTTTTTAAAGACTACATCACTCACAGGCCAAAAAGGACAATGCCTTTCTGCGTGGGTTATACCTGTGTGACAGAAGCTACTTCTGTTGGTTTTCGTGTTATTTTGCACATTCAAATGGAAATGCATACATGATGTCAATATTTTGTACAAAGTCATTGTCTATATTTTTATACTTCCATCCAATTTCTGACAACAAACAAATCAAAATCATTGCATTCAAGTATCAAATGGTTACAAAAACCTCAGAATATATTTACTTATTTGTATATTTGTAGTTTGTACTGTATGTTTGTGGTATTTTGTGTAATCTTAAACTTGTGAGTCAAAAGAAAACTTTCCACCATGGTATAAGTTTGGAGTTTTTGTAAAGGATGATTGTAAATATTTATAGAGGAAGAGCTTTCCTTGCTTTAACAAATGAAACACCAGTCAGAATAGAGTATTATGTGAATATATTTTCTTGGAATCTGGTGTTTGATCTCACATCAAAAAGTAATATTGAATGTGAAATGCTGAAAAGTTCTTGAAGTCTTCATCGCACATCCCCTCAAACTGTACAAAGGCAAACAGACTCTGACATCCGCTGAGCCTTCTGTTGATAAGGTGCGTCGGCTTTAATGTCTCACTATAAGCCTTACTGTTTTGTTTTAATTATGTTGTGAAGAATATCGAGCAGCTATGTAGAAAGTGTGAAAAAAAAATTTGACATCACCCCGACCATTCCAGACAATGTAAAGTAGTTTTTTTTCTCTGTCATCATTTGATGTTGCCCTGTAAAAATACAAATAATAAAAAAGTAAACCGTTAAAGCACTATTACAATGTTAAAATTTAGAGCAGGTTTCTCTAACTTCTGTCTTGGTGTCTTGTGGGGAGAGTTGGAGGGATAAATGTGTCTTTTATTGGTTAATATTTGTTGACGTCCCACTAGAGAATGTTCCCAACGCAGTACTACTTTTAACATAGATGCCTACATTTTGAAATGTTCATGATCAAAAGTATGTTTTCTCATCTTTTATAGATTAAATCCAAGTTTTTAACAACTCATACTGCAATTTTAGATTATCATCTAAATTTCATCCAGCTTCCAAAGGAAAGACACTACAGGGATGCAAACCCCAACAAGGCAAAATACACATAAGCACTGCCACATCTTTAATCAAATAAAGACACTTTGCTTTTTTATTTAATTTTTTTTTACTGATGTTGAAAACTAACATGCCATTTGCCTTCCCATGTTAGGCAATACTGAAGATAATAAAATCATTTTCCACAAATGTTCACACATATCATTGTGAGTTTGTCCAGAAAAATGTTTAAAAAGTGCCTGATTAAATTGCATTGGTTTAAATTGCTTCTAATCACATTATTGCTTTTCTTGCATATCTGTTTTATTCATCTGTTTACTGAATAATTAACCGTTGTTATCTTTAAGAAACTGCAATGATGAGGTGCAGGGGCGGATTAACGACTAAAGAAGATCCGGGGCTTATTACACACACGCACACGCGCGCGCGCACACACACACATACACACACGCGTGCGCACACACACGTGACACGCACTAGTCAACATCATATATATTTGTCTTGTACCACATAATTCTTAATCTGAAGCTACATATTAAGCATATTCAGGGCAGACTATTGTTCCTGTTAGTGTTTAGAGTGAGATGATAGTAAATATTCCCTTTCTTTCTCCATCAGCTTTACCTGATAGTAAGCTAACTTTAGGCAAACCAGCAGCACAACAAATATTTTCAAATAAGACTCACAAACCTGAGTCAACACCAGTCTCATCAAAGCTGGGGATCTGTCGCGGTACTTTTGGTCTAAAAAACGTCCTTATGTCCATCTTCACACATGCGTTTCAGGCAGAGTGTAGAAGAAACCAGGCACTGCAGAAGAAGCCGGCTGCTGAAGGGCTTCTTCTTCAGTGGTGCAGGCTCAGGCAGGCTGTATACAAACTACTGCTAGCTTCTCCCTCTCTGGTGGACTTTGGTACTGCATATTACTTCCACGTTTGAGATCCGGGGCTTGAGCCCAAGTTGCCGGGCCTAACGCCGCCCCTGATGAGGTGTGATTCATTATTACATGTGTTTACAGCTGCAGCATTGCTGAATATGGAGAAAAAAAAATCCAAAAAGGTGAATTATTTTTTTCCAGAAACCATAGCAAGTGCATAAAATATTTTTGATGATTTTTTTTGCAAAATCATTAACATCTGAACGGTAAATAATAGGGGTTTTCAAGATCGTGTGTGGTTTCTGCAGTTCACGTGATGACGGAACGTGGCGCCAAACTGTGCCCACACAATCCGTTCAAAGATAAAGTTTAAATTCTGCCTTCCATAATCTGCATTTTACAATAATACTTAAAAAGAGATTATGCTAATTTACTGAACCAAGCCAGTGGTATTCCCATCCCTCTTCAATCCCACTCTGAGCTTGGCTGTCCTGTTCTGATCAGAACCTGCTAGCAGAGGGAAACGTGGGACGGGTGGTTGAGTCCTGTGTCTTTACAGCAAAACTACTGAGGAGAATGAAGCAGCAGAAGTCACCAGGGGTGCTGTTTTGAGAGAAAAAAAAGAAAATGAGAAAGGTGCTAAGGAGAAAGATGTGTCATTTTAATTAGATTTGTTAATTTTTTCCAGGTTCTCTGATTAGCATAACCGTGCTAGCTAGCGTTAGCCAAAGCAGTGTCATGTCATCTATTAAACATTACGTAGCAGGGTGTGATATAAACAGTCTACCGTTTTTGCTATAAAACTCCATTATTTCGCTTATTTCTTTCCCCCTTTGGGTACCGGTAGTAGTACTTGCCCTGTAAATTTCCTGGAAAATCCCACCTCCCGCACTCTCAGGGAGACCCGAGATAGAGAGACGCACTCCACCTTTCCCATATTTCCAAACCCAAAACTTGAGGCCCGCCAGTTGAGTTTACCTAGGGCACCATATTGTCTAGGACTGCCTCTGTGTCCATGAACAAGTGAAAATGGCATGTCAGGGGAATTTCCAAATAAAACAATTTTCAGAATCAAAGTGCATTTAATAAATAGGATGGATGACCATATATATTTTATGCATCAATGGCGATCAAAGTATTGTTACACTCATTGAAAATATGGTTAAAATCATAAATCTTAAACACAACTAAACATAAAAACTGCTATCAGTGTTGTGCATTTCTTTTTAAAACAAAACACCAATCTGAAACTATTATCCAGAAGGAAAACTGGGTTTCATTGTCTACATTTATAGAAAAAATTTTTGATCAAGACAAACAAATCAAAGAAATGTTATTGTATGACTATAAAATTAAGTAAACGCTCTTTAATAAACAAAAATTTACATTGTCACTTTTAGGCTTAGACAATGATTCCAGCTGGCATTAGTAGAAAAAATGTAAACATTTTTTAAAATGTATTATATGTTGTTTTCAAAACAAATACAATGTACTTAACGGTGTCTCACTGAAAACAGTTTCATAACTCTTTTGGTTCAGAAGCTGGCCCGTTTCCCTGCTGCCCTCAGAAACCGGAGCTGAAACAGACCAATGTTAACTTCTTGTTAGTGAACTCGGACAAAACCCGGTGATTTGGGAGATTACACAAGCTCTCTAAGGTAAACCAGGGCGTGTATTTTTCCTGTCCTTTGTCAGGTTGATGATACATTTGTGTCATAGCAGACTCAGGTTATGAGCTGAATTCTGTGACCCAAGTCTTGGATCAGGGGCCAGTTTATGTACACAACACAACTCTGATGATATGAGTATGAGGGTAAAAGCCAACTCATTATTCAAACTTAAATTAAAGACTGTATGTAAACCAAAAGAAAATCTATCATTTCCCAGTCAACATAAAATGAAAACACAGAAAGCTACTCAGTTTATGTGCAACCTTCAGTGCCAGGTTGACCTTTTCTCCTCACATGTAACCTCGGCATCTCAGAGGTTTTTCACTGCCGGAATGCTCGTGCATTTAAAATCCTGTTACTTGCTAGAGACTGAATTGATTGTCAGGAAATCTTTCTCAGTTCCCTGTGTTGCTGTCATTGCTTCTCTTCAGCTCCCCAGTCTTTCAGCACTTAGCTCACATTTTCTTCATCTGTTAATCAACCTAGCTGTCTCCACTCAGTAACCATCCGCACAACAGTTAAATAGTCTAGCTCCCCTCTCTGTTGGTTTCTTTACATTTAGTTGGGTTATGTCTTGCATCCATTGATTTCTTCGTTCTGTTTTAGTTCCACTCTGGTCAACTTTAACACCTTGTTTTCCCCTCAACTTGGAAAAAAATGAGTTGTTTTTCTTTGTCCTTTTGGGTGGAAACAATATTCAAACTACTGCTGGGGCTTTTAGTAAGGATGTTTGATATCCGTTTTTTTACTGATATCCATTAACCCAATAGTCTAATATAAACCGATGCCAATGTATGCAGGGTCCTGCCTTCAAAAAATAATAAAAAAACTAAATGATTTTAGGTAACATCACAGATATCCTTTCATACTTCAACATACCTGCCCAAAATGATAATTTCTTAAATTTACTTTAGGCCAGTTGTTCCTAACAAAGATATCTCAAATCTGTCCTGTCTTTATATTTTCAATGAGGGAAGTAACTGAAGAGTTTGATACATAAATGGAAAAGTTGTGTAAAAAAGTAAAAGCCAACAAAGATCATTTGCAGTATACATTTTAATTTCTAGAGGTGTAGACTCGAGTCACATGACTTGGACTCAAGTCAGACTCGAGTCATTATTTTAATGACTTCTGACTCGACTTGATAAAATCTATAAAGACTTACGACTTGACTCGGACTTGAAAGCTAACGACTTGCGACTTGAATCGACTTGCATCTGTTAACTTGATGATGACTTGAGCATATTTGATATTTTAGCACAAAAGTGGCACGACATGGACAAAAATCTTGAATCATTCTTCGTTCTGGGATAGCTCTTGTTCTGCTAAATGCAGCAGCTCTTTGTTTATAATCAATTTCAGTTGCACTTTCTGCTTGTTTGAGCAAATAAATGATGCTTTAAGAAGTTTAATTTCTGGAATTTATTGTCATAAAATTTAAGTTTGACAGATGACTTTATTATGACTTGAAAATTCAATGTTATGGACTTGGACTTGACTTGTACTTCCACATTGTTGACTTTGGACTTGACTTGGACGTGGTTGTCTTTGACTTGGACTTGACTCGAGACTTGACTGGAAAGACTTGTGACTTATTGTGACTTGCAAAGCAGTGACTTGATCATACCTCTGTTAATTTCAATATACAAAATCCCGTTTTTTAGCTTATTTTTTTAGCTCATCTACAGCTTGTAAAGTCTAAACCACTTAGCCACAGGCAATATCTGTTTTGTTTTATGAATTATTAAAAAAATTAAAAAAAGATTAACAAGGTGTTCCTTTCATTCTGATGACCATCACTCCTGTCTTCAAAATCACTTCACTCATTACTGAGAATAAAAGGAGAAATCTAAAAGCGCTGTCAGGGTGACAAGTACGAGATATTTCTTAATATTTTAGATTTTTTCTTGTTTTATTAAACTCCATGTTTATGACATTGCTGTTTAAAGAGGTTTGTCACAGAACAAATCTCCTAGCAAAATCAGTGACATTATTTTGATCAAAGCATATGCTAATAAAGATGTTTCGTTGTAATGATGAATATTTTTATGGTCTTTTTATGACATTTCTGAACTAATGTGACATATTGTTTTTCTTTACATTTGATCAAAGTATTGTTCTGCACTGGTGGTAATGTCTTTGTGTGTTAATGGATTCGGTTTTATAAATTTACTAGAGCAAATCATTAGTAGCTGGAAGTCTGTATTGTTACTTTAAAGAATATAATTATGAGAATAGGATGCAATTATTGTCATTGCATTAAACAGAGATGGAAGATTCTTCACACATCTGAGCTCCACGATGGACGCAAAATGTCACTTATCGTTCAAAGGAAATTCACGTTGCTCTACAGTCACACGTGCAGCCATCACCACTGATTATCTGATGATAGACTACTTGAAAATAGATAAAATGGTATTTGAAATAAGGTAATGGATCATTATAAATACTGCTCTGATATGACGAGAAATTGAAGCTTTTAGCATTTTAGAAAATTCTCACTCCCAGCGCGTCAAAAACAAACCCTTGGTTGGCCACCCTCCGCGTCAGGCCCCTGACGCCAAAAGTGCCCTTTTTCGTCACTTATGTACGAAAAGGGGTTCTTCCCTTTTCTGGCTGCAGATCCCAATGCAGCGTAAAATTGACG